TCATTTTTTTCATCAAGACTTATAACATCTTAAGTATTATGCCTCAATTTTCTTAATTTTATCATTAAGAAAAAGATTATTTGTAGATTTATTACTAAAATAGTGTTCTTCATCCTTTCATACTACTAATGCTTTATGAATGAGAAAAAATGGCTTATTAATTTCAATTTTCTTGTAATTCTATGAAGTTTGAAAAAAATTGTTTACATTCAGTCTCAAGAAAATATCAATTGGTCCCTAATATTATGATCCAACCAATCTCTTATTTAAATAATGGCCGGAATGCAAATATTTTTTTCCTCTTTTTTTTTTTTAATTTTAACTATTTAGAGAAATTAGAGGGCCAATGAGTTGATTATATCATGGTAAGCGATGACGACTTTTTTTTTGGAATAATTATAAGAAAAAATCGATTAAGTAATTGAAAATAAGAGACTTAATTTTAAAATGAATTCCAAATTTGTAGAAGAAACTTTTTTATTGTGTAAAAAATTAATATTTTTAACATATTTTTCTTATAAACAAAGTAATTTTAGATTTTCAATAAAAATATCATGTAATTAAAGACAATGATATAGTTACTAGGTTTTTAATCGTACTATCGCTCTCTTTTTCATTATCATTTAATTCTTCGGTTGCAATAGAATGAATGAGGAATGATAATTCATAAAATTAACTTCTAATTCATAATAGTTATTGTAATATAAATAGTAGTTAATTAACAATGATCAATTTTAGCATGAATTATATTATAGTAATATAATTAATAATTATAATAATTTAAAGTTATTAGTTTATTTTTTTTTTAATAATGATAAGTAATTTAAATATTCATAAAATGAATTTTATTTTTAAATTTTTATTCATGTACATTTAATACACGATCAATAAAATTATAATTAAAATAATTGAAATGAAATGTTAGGACTGAATTTGAGTAATTATAATGGAAGGTTAAGATTCTATTTGGATGGTAACTCAAGCATCTTTTATAATAGTTAGTATATAATAAAAGCCTCATAACTATTTGTAGAATATATCTTATTCCTTTATTGAACATGTAACAATCACTCCCTTTTGATTGAATTTCACCTTATTTTTTACCTTCTTCTAAAATCAACCTTTGCCCCTTCTATTTTAGGCATAATTAAAATATTTATATTTTAATTAATATTCTCTTATATATTTCATAAATTCTAAATCCACCATCCTAAACTGACTCATAATTCAATGGTGCTAACCCTCACTATTGTAGGCAATCAACATGTGATTACTATTATAACCATAATGATGATTTTTATCATTATAATAATAAATATCTTAATTTACATTATTCATATACTTAGCAAGAGACAAATAATAAACATCTTAATTTCAATATCTCTCAATTGAACCAATAATTCATTTGTGTTATTTTGATCATAAGATAGTAAACTATGGGTGATCAAATGTTCTTCTGTGATTGAATTAAAATAAATTTGCTCTCCCTTTTATCCTTTTAATATAATATATAAATATCATGCTATATTTTATATTTATAATGAAAATTTTAATTTTTCTTCTAAATGTGAATGGATTGTGTTTATGATAATATTAGTTATACAGAGAAAAATATATATTTTAGTATTGAATTGTAAAATTATATTAATATATTTTCTATATGATAATTTTAAAATAAATATATATTTTTTCATTAATATAATTAATAATTAGAATTATTTAAAGTATAAAATTAATAACTTTATAATTAATAAAAATAATATAATTAAAAGTTTCATAAGATAATTTTTTATTGCTAAAATTTTATTCATGTACATTTAATGTACGTGCAATAAAAATAGCAAGATGCACTAAGTGCACATGCTCTAATATTAATATAAAATTTAATAACATTAATATAGCATATCATAAATCATTTTTAAATTTTAATTATAGATTTTTATTTTTTAAAATTTTATTTAAGTGTATATAATATACACGTGCATTTATACTAGTTTATTAAATGAGTAAATCAAACATAAATTTCGTACACCAAATTTAGATAAAATTAATAAATTATATCATTTATTGAAACTCCTGCAATTCACATATCTTTTTATTTTCGGCATCAAATTTTTATTAAAATTTGCTCCATTTTATCGCTTTAAAAGTTAAGACCACAAACAAAACAAACAATTTCTTCTCCCTGCGAAGGTTCGTCAATCGCGACATAATTAGTTGACTAACAGTCAATGCTTTGGTTCGTGGCGGGCCTCACTGAAAGAACTGGACCATCCCCCGTCTCGAGGAGATTATTATCGACACAATTCCTGTTTCCTCTGCACTCGGTCACTTGAACTCGGACTGCCCACTACCGACACTGCCCACTACCGACTGCCGGGTGGAGCACGAGGAAAGCTGCCCTTCCTCAGCCTTCGGTGAGCCCCTCTTTCTCTTCCTTCGTCACCTTCTAGATTTACTATTCCTCATAAGAGAATTTACCGTTTGCTGCATTGGATATTGGTCGAAATTGGAATCTAGGCATAGAAAATGCGGCCTCCATGAATTTTATGCGAAGCGTGGAGCGTTTCTAGCAGGCGTTTGGTGAGCTTTACTTGAAATTAGCTCGCCATGATTTCGATTATGTAAATAATGCACCTTTTAGATGTAGGGTTTTCTGGTTCTGGTGAAAAGAACGAGCTTGACATGGAGAAATCATATGATTTGATGGCGTTTGGCGTTAGGAATTGTTGAGCAGTAATGAGATATCTTTCTCTCTCATTTGACTCATTCTCGACCAGTGCTTCGCTGCATGAGAGGTCAACGGTACGAAACCATGACTGTTGATTCTTGTCAATTATATGAAAATGTTATAGTGACGCTTTGCTCCCTACTTAAAATAGCAAATTTGCTAGCTGATGGAAGTTTTGGCGACCATTCATGGAACTGATAGTGTTACATTTATCTCAAGTAACAGACGGTTTCAGGATTTCTGTGGAATCATAGTTTTTGGCAATGGAAACCATCTGGCAGCACAAAAGTTAACCATATAAATTTTTCTGTTTTTTGTTTGCGATGAGAAATTGAGGCAATAGCAATTCGGGTAATGTAGTTTAGGTGCTACAGCTGTCAATTGTAAGCTTTGAAAGTTATAAAATTTTTGTTTAATGAAAACGTATTTTCGTGTATATAAGTTAAATAGATCCAGAATTTGAGATTTCTAGATCGTTCCCTTTTGCAAAGCAGATGTATTCATCATGGTTCCATGTCGACGTATGTAATTATTTCCTAATTAACTACATGTTTAAGCTCAATGATAACCCAAGTTTCAATTAATTTGCCTGCCTTAGTTGAATCATGGTTAATGACCTCATGTCCTTGACAATGTCTCTGAAATACTTTCACGTGAAGAATATAACAGTTGAAGGATTAACATGAATTTGAAAGGCTCATGTGAAGTTTTAATACCCATGACTTGATGTGGGGTGGTAAATTGTTGGATTGTTGGAAGAAGAGGATGCAAGAAGGAATTTCCCAATCCAAGGAACAAACACAAACAACAAGCTTCTAAAACTTCAAAGATAATTTTATTTCATCAATCAATCTCCCTTTCTTACAATAGTTTGTATATATAATCATAATAGAATATTCTAGAAAGACTACATCTAAGCTAACAAATGATAAACTATTCCTTAGGTGTGCTATAACTAGGATGTTCCTACATCATATTCCCCTAGCATCAAAAAGAGCTCGACTCCGTTGAGGCTCGTCATCGAGAGGGAGGTAGAGGTAGATATCCTGACCAGATCCCTGGGTCTAATACTTTGCATGTTTCTTGCATACCCATAAGACTAGAAGCTACATAAATTTTAAGCATAGTCGCAAAGGGAATAGGACCAAGATGCCATTTTGATACTTTCCATATCGAGCTTGAACTCTTTATAGATGAATCCACCAGCTCCATCACATTGTCCTCGTTCCATAGCTTCCAAGTATATCCTAGCAGGTTGAGTGACACTTCAGAGTGATTGTATGTGGAGTTCCTTATCCCACTTACAATCTATATAAGCAGTACTCCAAAGCTATACACATCAGACTTTGCTGAGAACAAGCCATTCATTGCATATTCTGGTGACATATAACTACATGTTCCAACCGCTTCGTCTTATTTTTGCTGATGATCTGGATGAACGCTCTCATAGCTTCGCCAACGGTGACCAGATTTTGAGGCATGATCTCCAGTTCTAAAACAGTGCGGTTCAATTTCTCACTGATTTTCTTCACAATATTAGGTGAGCATTTTGTTATGCTTTGCGACTGTATTCACATCAACTTGTTTGTCAAAACAGGGATGCCCACTATCGAGTATAGATCCTGGAAAGAAAATGATGGGATTTGAACAAATTCGTCTCTACTGCGTGAGCCTCCTCATATGTCTCCAAAATGTTGACGTCGTCAGCAGTTACTTTCTCAAGAAGGCCCTTCAGTGACTTATCAGCCTTGGTGACAACCGCCAATGTCCTCTCTCGCCTATGTGATCCTCCTGCTGCGACATCTGAATGGACTCACAAGTTGGGAAGTCAACACTTACGTAGAACACATGATTTGGAGTAACCCAACGAGTTTGTTTGTTCTTCTCCACAAGAAGATCATTCAGAAGTTTAACGTCTTCGAACTCCTCGGTTAGGGTAGAACCCAAAATAGAAGCAACACAAATAGTACCTTCATCGACCATCTCCACAGCCTTTTCAGGGTTCATGACATAAAACCCCTCCCTTAGTTTTACTTCTTTTAACTCTACTTCGAAATACCTTGCAAATATTTCCCAGCAAACTTGAACCTTTGCACCAATAACTATGTTGGGCTTGTCATAAGGCTTCCCCCCTCCTTTCTTTGGTTCTGCCACTTCCTCTTGAATGCCAACCTAGCCAGCATTATCGCTTCTGATGAACTGACAGTTCCAACTCCTATTGCAGTTTCATCCTCACCAATGGGAGCGTTGAAAAGGTGGGCTATTGATTTGGAATGTCGAGAGGAAACAGAGGCGGAATCAATTTGGATGCAGGATTGGAGTTGGAGCGGGAGCAGATCCGGATCGTTGATCTGATAGCGAGAGATAGTGGAGGTGGAATCAAAATTGTGTGTTTCGACCAAAGTTGTGGCAGTTGCTTCATCGATTTCCAGATTGCAATTGTCATATCCGTCTGTCTTAGTTAGAACATCCAAATCCTACTCTATTCTGCTTTGTAGATGAAAGGGTTGATGGACCATCTCTTCAGAGCGTGAGTTATCGGGTGGCCGTTGCTTCGGAGTTTCCTCCTCTACATTCTTTTGTTGCAGTTGTGTTTCTTACGTGTGCTTGTTGGGGAGGAAAAGGGATGACGCTGAAATGGTCGGATGGAGAGTGATCAACAATGGAGGAATGGTAGCGGCGGAATCTTGATGGAGGGGATCAAAATCACGAGAATGGTCGCGAGACGATGCAGATCTGTAGGTGAATGGAACTGGAAGTGAATCTGAAGTCGAAAATAGGGTCGGGCGAGCTAGAAGCACGTGGCTCTTGCGTGCGGGAGGCAGAATTAGGGTCTTGCTCACTAGAACTGAGTGTTGGGACGGAGGGGGATCACACCATCAGAGAGGAAGTTCGAGCTGAGGGTAGTCATCAACCACGGCCGGTTGATTGCGGTGCTGGTTGCGTTAGTGTGGTCGCTGATCAGGCGGATTGCTCCATCGGAGTTGAACTTCGAGCAGAGGATAGTGGGGTGGCGGATCTCACCAATGGAGTGGAAGTTGGAGCAAATGATAGTTGTCTTCTTCGTCGTTGAGCGCCCATCTCCTTCGGTGTCAATCGTCATCCACCTCCCATCTCCTTTGGCTTCGATCTTTGTGAGGATAGTGGGGCGGCATATCTCGCCATTAAAGTGGAAGTTGGAGTGGAGGATAGTTATCTTTTTCGTCATCGACCGCCCATCTCCTTCGACATCGATCTTCGTCGATCGTCCATTTTCCTCGGCTTCGATCGTCGTCGAAGGCTCATTTTCTTCGGCTTCGATTGTCGTCGATAGCCCATTTTCTTCGGCTTCGATAGTTGTCGACAACCCACTTTCTTCTGCAGTCCATCGTTCTTCGCAAGCTCCAGGCTCTGATACCAACTGATGTGGGGCAGTAAATCGTTGGATCATTGGAAGAAGAGATGCAAGGGATTTCCCAATCCAAGGAACAAAGACAAACAACAAACTTCTAAAGCTTCAAAGACAATATTGTTTCATCAATCAATCTCCCTTTCTTACAATAGTTTGTATATATAATCATAATAGAATATTCTAGAAAGCCTACACCTAACCTAACAAATGATAAACTCTTCCTTAGGTGTGCTATAACTAGGATGTTCCTACATCACAACGCAGGTCATGCAATGCATGGTTATGTCTGATACAATCTTATTCTCAACAGAAAGGAGGTTACATAATCGTTAAACCTATGAGCCACTGAAAAGATAAGGTTGTAGCAGGTTCCATGGATTCTTGTGCTCTTTGAATGATCATTCTAAATAATTTATCCCTGTCCTTGTTCAGGCAAAATGGTGGTTGATTTAACTTTTGGTTAACATCATTGTTTTAGGTACTAGTATTTTCATATTGCTTTCTGTTTCTGATAGTATTCTCTTAGGAATGTGCATCCTTTAAGTTTTTCATCATAATACTTCTAGCTTTTTTCTTTGTGCTGTTGGAGGCTAGTGTAACATTATTTCAACCATAATTCTGCATATAAAGTTGTACTTCTTTACTGGTATTCTCATATTACTTTCTGTTTCTGATTGCATTCTCGAAGGAATGTGTATCATTAGGTTTTTCATCATAATACTTCTTTTGGCTATATATTTTAATTTTATTGTAACGTATAAAGTCAGACTGTCAAGTTCGGAAGGAATTTCTGAAATGACATGGGAATACACATTGACCCTTATTCCTGTTTTCTATCCATGTAGCCACATAAAGGAAAATGGATATTCCTTATGTTCTTTTAGCTTGTTGACATTTGGTTACTGTTTCTTTATGGACATTTCAAAAGTAATAATTGTTTATTATTGAAATCACTGTTCATGTAAGTATGTTCTGACGTGTTTTGTTGGAAATGTTTAGTTTAATCCTTACATTTTGGAAGTGATGCAATAACATTCATTGTACCTTATTAGGCATTTATCTCTTTCTAGGACGTTTCTATTGAATCTCAGGCTCTTAATGCATAACTTGGTCATTGCTACCGGTGTTTTCAGCTAACCTATATAAATTTTAGGTGGCTATCATGAGAGTGGAACTCCAAACTGGAAAAAAGCAGCAAATGGACAGTCATTACGTCAATGCACCAGAACCATATGTAGTCGAAGAGAATTTTGAAGGATACTTCCCCGACCATAATGATCTCACACTTGCACAAATTCTTCAGGATCAGGTTAGCTACTTTTTCACCCTGAACTTTATAATCTAATATATTTTATGAATGTAATTGAAATCTGTATCTAAACTAGATTATTTATTCTAGACAATGAGACAGGCTCATACTGTTAATTTGGAAAATTTTCCAAATTAAAATTAGCCTTGATTTGAAAGATTTTGATGGCTCATTGATTAGGGATTGATTATTGCCTAATTAAGTTGATTTGATTGGAGATTTAATTGATGCATTAATTAGGGGATCTAATTATTGCATTAATTAAGAGATTTGATTTATGTATTGATTAAAATAACATTGATTAGGATATCTAATTATGGCATGATTAGATTTCTTATTGATTAGGCTTTCCTTATTGTGTTTTAAATTTAGTTAGGGCTTGAGGGCTATTGATGTAGAACTGTATGCATATGTGATGTTAGTGAATTTAAAATTACACGCTCATGAATAGAACCTTAACAATTCATTAACTTCCCACGTGTTTAAACAAAAGATTTAAGCTAAAAAGATAGTGATTAGGTTTAAGCAATCAAATACATGATAATAGGAGGATCACAACATAATTAAGTCAAATAATATTAGGCTAATGGTAAGCTTCAAAGATAATACATAAATTAACAATTAGATTAGTCACTACAATAACCCATTCACACAACGTCTTGGTGGGGGTTATAAGTGTAGAAGCTTTCACGTTTCTTGGTGGGGGTTATAAGCGTAGAAGCTTTCACATTAGAAACGATGCCAATGTTTGATGGAGGATCAAAAGGTACAAAGGAGGGGCAAAGTTTACCCACAAGGAAGAGGATACGAAGCAACGACGAAATCGTTTGGTTGAATATGAAGGGAGGGCAGCATCACACACATTTGGACAGAAATCTAGCATCTTCTGGACATTTGGATAGTGATCTAACAGTTTTCGGAAATCTTGACAACAAGCTAGCTTGTTCTGGACATCTGGACAATGAGTTAACTTGTGCTGGAAAATCGGGACAACAAGTTAAATTGTTCAGGAATTTTGGACAACAAGTTAACTTATTATGAGAGGACAACAATCTTGTAAGGCTCAAATCCTGGAATAGCTGATATTAGGATGAGAAAACTAGGCATATGGCTATGGAAACATAGGGGCAGCAGTTAGCAAAATCTGAGAAGGGGCGGTGGGGTGTAGCCGGCCAAGGGAGGAGATTTATTTCTATAGAGGGGGTGGGTGAGGGTGTAGCCGACCAAGGGAGGGAAACTTGAATTTGATTCCTGATTTGGGGATAGATTAAGGGGCTGTTTGGTTGCCTGAATTAGGAGGGTAAAGTAAAACAAATGCATGTTACTAAATTTGGCTGTTTGGTTAATTTTGAGCGTAACAAAAGGAAATCATCTGATGCATTAGTCGTGTAAAACGGAGGCCGTTTTGCGGGAATTAGAAACCTGCTCGATACGAGCGGGTTATAAATTCGCTCGACGAAGTTATGCTTGGCGTCGTTGCTGTTCGGCTTCATTGTTTCGCAGGTGGTGTAAGATTGCACGAGAGGCTTCTTCGGCTCCTTCGTTCTTCTCAGACTTCGAGCGACGACGTTTCCTAAAGCATGTCCGATCGGAAGTTGCGCCATTTTCATCGGAAGTAAGGACGGGAGCTCGAGTTCGCATCATCCTTGCTGTTCGGCTTCATTGCTTCGCAGGTGGCATAAGATTGCACGAGAGGCTTCTTCGACTCCTTGGTTCTTCTTAGACTTCGCGTGAGGACGTTCCTAAAGCTTGTCCGATCGGAAGTTTGGCCATTTTCATCGGAAGTCAGGACGGTAGCTCGAGTTTGCATCATCGTCCCTGTTCGCCTTCATTGCTTCGCACGAGCTGTAAGATTGCACGAAAGGCTTTTAGGGCTCCTTCGTTCTTGTTCTACTTCGCTCCTTCGACCACGTTACCTTTGCCTGTCCGATCGGAAGTTGCGTCATTTCCATCGGAAGTAAGGACGGGAGCTCGTAATTTCTGAAGGTAAATTTATCCCTTTCGTGCGCTTGTTTGGCCAAATCCAGATTTGTAAATCTCTCTTCTTCTCTGTTGACGCAGAAGCAAAAGCAAATCCAAAAAAAAAACTCACTAATTTTTTTTTACTTTGAATTATTTTACTAGGTGTTATCATCTCTTGTATCAGAATATGTTTAGATTAAAAGTTGGTCGGATTTCATAGGATTAGATTACATTTAAACGTTTGGACATTTGCAACTTCAAACTGTATGTGTGTAGTTTTCTTCTATTTTACCCTCCAACAAATTTTGGTATCAAAGCTTAGACCTAGAAAAAACTTAATTGGCACCAAATAAGTTCATTCAATAATAAGAAATTTTAAATGTTCATGGCAAATCCCTGCTTATAGAAATTGGGTTAAAAAATAAGACCATACAAGGGAAACATTTCTTCTGCGTTTACTTTGCAGAGAACCAAACAACCTCAAAGTATTTACTTTACACTGCATTTACTTTACATTGCGTTTACTTTGCAGGCAACCAAACAACCCCTAAGGAAAGGAAAGCAATTCATAATTATGGAATTAATTGCAGCAGTTAGGAAAGAAATCCGGAGTTAATTGATGCTTTGGTGGCTAGAGAAATTAAAGCAAGAATCAATTTGGATTGATTTGGGTTAAATGGCTGCTGTAATTGGGGTGATTAGTTGGGGGAATTGTTTAAGAAGAGCACAAAAGGAAAGGGAGAAAGAGGGAAACAAGGTGAGCGGCAATTGCTAGTGGGGGAGTTGCTTATGGGACTTAATGGAGTTTCCAAACATAGCATACTAATTGCGGAAAGAGGATTTATGACAAATCTCTGTTTCATATTCAAATTGGCATGATTGGAGGAACTTTCATAACTTAGTTCATCCTTTTTAAAAGAAAGAAATTTAAGATTTGGATTGAATTGAAATCTGAATTTCAATATTTTCAAAATTATGATGTGCTATATTTGGAAAGTATTAATAGATGCAACTTGAAAATTTAGGGACCAAGGGAGGGGAAAGGTGGCCGACGGCTAGGAGGAGGGGGGAAAAGGGTTGGGCGCCAGCTAGGTGAAAGGCTTTGGGGCTTGCAATTAGAGGGACGGATCTTGCTTTGCTCTCGCCTAGGGACTTCACCTAAGTTTTCACTAGAACTCTCAAAACTCACTAAGATAACAAGTGCAGAATTTTTTTTATTTATCATATTCATCCTCCTCTCAAAGAGGGGGTGAGGTCTTTAAATAGACAAGTACAATACAAAAAAAAACTAAATGACGAAAGTGCCACCCTGGGGTCATATAAACCTACTCCCTCACGTGAGGGTAAAACAAAAAATACATAATAAAACTCAAATACAAATAAAAGTTCAGAAATAAAGTAGTCCAATCGTGGTCGTAGATCTTCGGCCCTTTCCACGGTCGGATGTCCTCACCATTCTCCCGGGTGGAAAAGAGCTTGACTCCGTCGAATATGTATCCCGGGTGCTCTCATAGATCTCTAGCGCATCTGGGTTTATCCGCTGGAGCTCCTCGCGATCTAGTCAAGTGTCCTCTTTCTCTGGTTTACCTCTCCACCTTACCAAGTACCTTCTTCGTCCATCCTCTTTTGTGGAAATGATGTCATCACTTAGAATCATGTCTATTGTCTCCGCAATAGATGTTTTGAGAATTTTTGGAAGTAGAGGAAGGCTTGGGTTCTCATAAGGTGGGATCACAGAAGGCTCAGTTTGTAGTGGATTATGTAGGTTAAACTCTAGACCCTAATAGGTTACTAAATCTTTAATGTTAAAAGAGGGATTACTATCAAAATCTGCAGGCAGATCCACCACATAGGCATTGTCATTGATTTTCTTGATTATTTTGAATGGTCCTGCACTTTTAGAATGTAATTTCTTAATTGTTCCTTTCGGAAACCGTTCCGGACGGATTTAGACCATCACTGAATCACCAACCCTGAATGTCTTGAATTTTTGTTTAACATCAATGTGAAGTTTATAATTTGTATTTCTCTCTTCAATACAGTGTGTAATTTCCTTATGCAATTTATACAAATGCAATGCAAATGAAGATGCATACTCAGAAATTCTATACTTAGGACACATGGGTATGAGATATAAAGGTTGTTTAGGCTTGTACCCATATATAATCTCAGTAGGACTCAGACCAGTGGTGCAGTTCATAGAATTATTATAAGCAAATTCAGGTGTGGAGAGTTTGGAATCCCAGTCTTTAATGTGCTCACGTGCTAGGGTCCTCAACAAGTTTTCTAGACTCCTATTGACAACTTCAGTTTGTCCATCCGTCTGAGGATGAAAGGCTATGGAAAACTATAATTTGGTGCCCATTTTCATCCATATAGTCTTCCAGAAGTAACTCGTGAATTTAACATCCCTATCAGATACAATGGTCTTGGCTAAACCATGTAATATGTCGACCTCATTAAAATACAACTTAACAATAAGAGAGGCATCAAATGTTTTGGAGCAGGGTACGAAATGTGCCATCTTGGAGAAATGGTCAACTAAGACACATATGACATCATTCCTATAGGAAGTCTTGGGCATGCCAAGAATGAAGTCCATGCTGACATCCTGTCATGGACAATTGGGAACTGGTAAAGGGGTGTAGAGACCTATGTTATGCTTTCGTTGTTTGGCCTGTTGACAAGTGTGGCATCAACTAATCATCTTACCCACAACTTTATTCAGGCTAGGCTAGAAGAAACGATACTCTATGACCTTAATAGTTTTATCGTGACCAAAGTGTCCTGTGAGGCCTCCATGATGAAGTTCCCAAACAAGGAATTCCCTAAGGGAAGTGCTTGGGATGCAAAGCTTCTGAGCTTTGAATAGGTATCCATCCTTAAGGAGAAAATCATCCACTAGGTGCTTGTTTCCTGTGGACAAAAGGGAATAAATCTCCTTAAAGTCGGGGCACTCCAAGTAATCCTCTTTGACCTGCTCAAACCCAATGACTTCTGCCGTCATCTCAGTGGTAGTCATCATACGATGACTGAGG